GAGCATAGGGTGTTGTATATAAGGGTTGAATCACTAAATTCTATACCTGAAAACTAATATTACAGTGTATGTCAACTAACTGGAATTTAAATAAAAACTTTTTCAAAAGTAAAATTACAATTTACCTTGCCCCCTACACTCCCAATCTTCCATATTCTCACTTTTCTTTTCTCTATAAAACATACTACCTAATAATATACTATTTATGTGGGGGGTTTTTTGTCCATGTAACCCGTTTAGAATATAAGCTTTGACCTTTGTTTTGTACACCGATGTATTCCAAGTGTCTGGAACAGCATCTACTCCATAGCAGGTACCCAAACGATGCATTTGTTAAATGAATGAAATTCTGAGGCCAACCCATGCTAATACATCAGTACATCTTCTTTAAGCCCTGATCTTCTAAGTTTTTTTGGCAATTCAATTTCATAGTGGATTGAAGTTGGGCATTATACACTTAATTAGAATTTATTTACCTAATTTAAGCAAAATATGCACAGCTATTTAAAATATATACATACAGTTTTCAAAAGTCTTTAGGTCCATGACTACGTTTCATAATTGTATAAATCATTAAGGCCCTAGATTCATTGGGATCATTTAACTTGTCAGGTAGTTTATGGTTTGTTCTGTATATGGTGGTAAGTGCAAAATAATTTTAAATACACAATGTAGTATAATTTTGGCTCTGTTGAAAGGCAAATCAAAACTAATCATCTTGCTATAGTCAACAAGTAAAAGGAGAATAAACTTTTAAAAGTACAATAGAAAGTTGCTAAAATAATTTAGAATATAAAGGGTTTTTTTCTTTCTTTTGAAAAAAAAATCTCTATGTCTTTGGGCTAATTTCTGCAGTCTCAAGTATTCAATCTGCTTTGAACCGTATTATGTTATTTTTGGAGTTTTCTGCTAGCCCCTCTTCATTGAACCCAGACAGACCTGGTGGTGATGCCAGCTTACAGGCTAGTGCCAAGGTAGGGGCCACACAGAGTAACTGGGGTCAGACCCAGGACAAGAATGGCTATTCATTACTATTAAGGAAGAAACCAATGATCCATATTAAGAGGAAATATCAATCATGAGACTGAATGTGAAAGTGAGGGTGAAGTCAGAACTATGGAGCAAGATGAGATCAGAAGCCAAGGTATCAGAAAATGACTGAAACCTAAGGACAAGGTGTGAAACACAGAAAAGAATGTTATTCACCATAAATAATCCAAAATTTTCCCCAGGAAAAGCAGAGTGAGGGAATTACACTTTCAGTGTTCATCTGTGTTCTTGTCACCAGGGAAAGAAGGAAAAAGAAGCAGCACAAAGTTGATGGGGCCTCCAGCCATTGTAGAGTAGCCCTCTGCAGCTGTTTGGCAAAACAGACATCTCAAAAGCTATTTTCTGGGGCGCCTGGGTGGCTCAGTTGGTTAAGCAACTGCCTTCGGCTCAGGTCATGATCTTGGAGTCCCAGGATCGAGTCCCGCATGGGGCTCCCTGCTCAGCAGGGAGTCTACTTCTCCCTCTGACCCTCTTCCCTCTCATGCTCTCTCTCTATCATTCTCTCTCTCTCTCTCAATAAATAAATAAAAATCAAAAGCTATTTTCCATGGAGAAGCAAGGAAAGTAAGGAGAAAAATCAGAGGCTCTCAAGCAACAGAGATATGAGAGAGAAGTTATAAATATGATTTCCTCTAGTAGTTTTTAATAGATACAAGTTGTCAAGTCCCATTTGGGATGTTAGATGATAAAAGCTGTAACATGTCAAAGGAAATATTCAAAAGTATATTTACTGTTCTTATGAAATTTATGATTTAACTACGAAGATGAGATGTCTACATAAAAAGTAGAGATCACTTGCTGACCGTCTAAATGTTTCCACTTTCTAGTTTCTTGCCATTTTACACACAGTCTTTTAAGAATACTTCCTCCAAAATTGTATCCAATATCATTGGCTCAGGAACTCTGCAGAGATCAATCCCATGTGCACAAGACTAGCATTACATAAGCACTTTGTTCCCCATCAAATGTACTTGTGACCCCCATAAAACTGTATTTATTCAATAACTGAGCATCTATTATATGTCAAGTGCTCTTCTAGGTATTAGAGAAACTGAAGTAGACAAAACACTATCTTTGTCTTCATGGAACTTACATCACAATATCATAAATTTTTATATCCTTTCTTCCAAGTAGGAGAAAATTTATTATTTTTAATCACTCCCTTACAGTGCCTTTCCTTTTTTTTTCCCTTACAGTGCATTTCTTAAAATTCCTTGTCCATCAGTGTGTTGATTAAGTGCAGCCTCTACCATCCCATGAATCAGAATCTTGAGGGGAAGACTGAGAAATTTATGTTTAACAAGCTCTCTGGGGGTTTTATATGCGTTAATAGCATGGATAATTTGGGAGGAACCACTGCCCTTTCAATACCATACTATCTGAGGAATTGGTGATTCTCATTGTACCACTTCTGTGGGACCCTTTTGATTGTCATGACTAACAACTACCAAACTCCTCATCCTTAAAGAATGTGAAAGTTCTCTGGGGTTTTCCACAGCCAATTCACCTGACAAAGACTGACAAGGCAAACTTTTTAAGGTATACTATTTATCTTTAAACGATTTTCTCTATGGGACAGATGTTACCATATTCTGCTTTAGGGAAGAAACAATTAAACATTAATTACTAGTTATGGTCCACAGAACCAAAAGATTCATTTTAAAGACAAAGTTGAGATGATGGAGATTTAGGAAGTTTTCTTATTAAAAGAAGGTAAGACTGAGTGAATCCTAGAAATCCACTGTGAACAACATAAAATGTTCGTTGAAGAGGCTCTTTGTGAGTTAATGATAGTCACTATAGTCAATATTCAATACTAAACAATATGCAATGACAGCAAATACAATAAAGTTGATATTCGAATAACAGCTAATGCAGGTTTATTATGTGCTACACACTATTCTAAGTACTTTACAGATATTAAGTTGACAATTCTCAAACCCTCTATGAAATGTTTTTTTGTTACCATACCTATTTTGTAGAAGAGAAAATGAGGCATAGAGAAGATAAGTAACCTATTCAAGTCTACATAGCTCACAATTTGTAGCCAGGATTTGATCCTAGGTGCAAAAATCCATACTCTTAATCACTAGACTAAACTGCTTCTCATTAGTTTTTATAATACTTCTTTCAAAGAATCATACCAAAGAAGTTTATACAAACCTAGGAAGCAAGATTGATTGATTGACTGGTATTACAACTTCCTTGACCCAGTATCCTAATCAGGCTAATTTTCACTTGACTCATTTTCAGATGAAGATAACACTGCTGCTGAAGCAGGATCATCTAGTGGTTAAAAGTCCAAGAGAAAGAGGGAGATGGCTTTGAATCTCAGCTCTGCCACTTACTTGCTGCATGAATTTCATCAAGTTACCTCTCCAAGCCTCAGTTTTCTTATCTTTAAAATGAAGGTTATAAAGGGACCTACATCATAATATTGTTTAAAGATAAAACAAGATCGCTCATTTAAAACACTTAGGAAGTGTTTCACTCAATAAACATTATTAGTGCAATAAATAGCAGCAGCATCAATAAACTGGACCAAATGATCTCTTGATTCTTCTACTCGCACTAAAAATTGTTTATTTCTCTTCTAATTAGAAACAAATTCTTAATCTCAGGAAACAAACTGAGGGTTGCTGGAGTGGTGGGGCGTGGGAGAGATGGGGTGGCTGGGTGATAGACATTGGGGAGGGTATGTGCTATGGTGAGCGCTGTGAATTGTGCAAGACTGTTGAATCACAGATCTGTACCTCAGAAACAAATAATACATTATATGTTAAAAAAAAAAAAAGAAGAAGAAGATAGCAGGAAGGGAAGAATGAAGGGGGGAAATTGGAGGGGGAGATGAACCATGAGAGACTATGGACTCTGAGAAACAAACTGAGGGTTCTAAAGGGCGGGGGGGGGGGGGGGTGGGGGGATGGGTTAGCCTCGTGCTGGGTATTAAGGAGGGCACATACTGAATGGAGCACTGGGTGTTATACGCAAACAATGAATCATGGAACACTACATCAAAAACTAATGATGTAATGTATGGTGATTAACATAACATAACAACAAAAAATAAATAAAAATAAATAAATAAAATACAAAAAAAAAAGAAACAAATGACAGCAGCCAAAACAACCAAGCCAGAAGCCATTAAACCAATTATGTCTTTTGTAGGAAAACCAGAAAAGCTATTGGACACATCAATTTATATGTCATTAGTTATCCCCTCTATTCCAAAATGTATGTGTCTAAGCATCCTGAGACACCTTGCATAATATAATCACTGTGACTCCAAGAGGTCAAATGGGCAGGCAGTTAATGCTTCTCTGTGAAAAGCTCAATAAGTCATTTTATAAATTTCAGTCCAAAGCCTACGTTGAGGTTAAGAAAAATTGACATTCGGTCTGTGAACTTAATGTCAAGCTTCAGGAAAACTCTAGGCAGTACATGTTTAGTGATTAAGTGGACGTAGACAATAAAGACATTGCCAAACTGTAAAACAAGACTTGGAAATTACAGAAAATGTTGCTAGTTATTGATTACGGTGACCATTCAGTTCCCATTGAGCCACCCAAAAGAATCATTTATTTTCCAGCAGAGAGTCTGCTCATTTGCAAGATAAAAGAGAGACATTTCTGCACATGCCCATAATGTTCTTCACCACTGGGGGCAGCTTTACATAAGACTGCATTCACTGAAACCAAAGCAACAGTCCGAGCAGCTTTCAGAATGACAGTCTGCAGAAGTGAGCTGAGCGTGTGTGCGGTACGGGGCTCTCCTGCCTCCTGGGCTCCAACGCAGCTTTGTGGCTGAAGTGGGTGCTCACCACCAGAAATGCTGGGCTATGGAATACAGATGTGGCAGCTCAGATAGCCCCACGTTGCCTGGAGGAATACATCATGCTTTCCGATAAGAAGAAATTATAGAAGCCAGTTTTTTTTTTTAACGCCCCCCCCAAAAAACTGTAAAGATGCAAAAACGTAATATCCACGAAGATCCTATTACCTAGGAAGATTTTTGATGTTTTGCTACAAATGCGGTGCTGGAATTTATTCGTTCTTGGAGTGTTCTGCGTGGCTGGCAAAGAATAATGTTCCAAAATCGGTCCATCTCCCAAGGGGTCCAATTTTTCTTCCTGGGTGTCAGCGAGCCCTGACTCACAGTGCAGCTGACAGGGGCTGTCATGCGAGTGGCCCCTTAAGCCAAAGCAAAAGACCTAAGGACGACCTTTGAACAATACAAAGGATGGGTATGTTTTGTCATTTTTCTTCTTTCCTTCTTAAAAAAAAAACAAAAACAAAAAAACAAAAACAAAAACAAAACCCTCTAGTCTGTGTTGTAATTCTGCCTTAATTATTTTAGAGATTACCTTTCTGTGCTTAAGACTATAAATTCAATTGCTTAGTGGACACGTTTCCTTGCTTAACTATTAAAAAAAAAACCCTAAAGACAATTCTCTTTAAATGACAAGGAGGTGATATTTGATATTAAATGTTGTTATCTAGATTTAAATTTTTAAAAAAAGAAAATACATGCCTATTTTTGCTTGGTTAAAAATAAATGAATTCCTTTTTGGGGGGATAACTTTTCTAAGTTGTTTTTATTTCCAGGTTTCAATGTAATTAGGCTACTGAGCGGATCAGCTGTAGCACTGGTTATAGCCCCCACTGTCTTACTGACAATGCTTTCTTCTGCCGAACGAGGATGCCCTAAGGGCTGTAGGTGTGAAGGCAAAATGGTATATTGTGAATCTCAGAAATTACAGGAGATACCGTCAAGTATATCTGCTGGTTGCTTAGGTTTGTCCCTTCGCTATAACAGCCTTCAAAAACTTAAGTATAATCAATTTAAAGGGCTCAACCAGCTCACCTGGCTATACCTTGACCATAATCATATCAGCAATATTGATGAGAATGCTTTTAATGGGATACGCAGACTCAAAGAGTTGATTCTGAGTTCCAACAGAATCTCCTATTTTCTCAACAATACCTTCAGACCTGTGACAAATTTACGGAACTTGGATCTGTCCTATAATCAGCTGCATTCTCTGGGATCTGAACAGTTTCGGGGCTTGCGGAAGCTGCTGAGTTTACATTTACGGTCTAACTCCCTGAGAACCATCCCTGTGCGAATATTCCAAGACTGCCGCAATCTGGAACTTTTGGACCTGGGATATAACCGGATCCGAAGTTTAGCCAGGAATGTCTTTGCTGGCATGATCAGACTCAAAGAACTTCACCTGGAGCACAATCAATTTTCTAAGCTCAACCTGGCCCTTTTTCCAAGGTTGGTGAGCCTTCAGAACCTTTACTTGCAGTGGAATAAAATCAGTGTCATAGGACAGACCATGTCCTGGACCTGGAGCTCATTACAAAGGCTTGATTTATCAGGCAATGAAATTGAAGCTTTTAGTGGACCTAGTGTTTTCCAGTGTGTCCCAAACCTGCAGCGCCTCAACCTGGATTCCAATAAGCTTACATTTATTGGTCAAGAGATTTTGGATTCTTGGATATCTCTCAATGACATCAGTCTTGCCGGGAATATATGGGAATGCAGCAGAAATATTTGTTCCCTGGTAAACTGGCTGAAAAGTTTTAAAGGTCTGAGGGAGAATACAATTATCTGTGCCAGTCCCAAAGAGCTGCAAGGAGTAAATGTGATCGATGCAGTGAAGAACTACAGCATCTGTGGCAAAAGTACCACGGAGAGGTTTGATCTGGCCAGGGCTCTCCCCAAGCCAACATTTAAGCCTAAGCTCCCCAGGCCGAAGCATGAGAGCAAGCCCCCTCTGCCCCCCACGGTGGGAGCCACGGAGCCCGGCCCAGAGACCGATGCTGACACCGAGCACATCTCTTTCCATAAGATCATCGCAGGGAGCGTGGCCCTTTTCCTGTCCGTGCTTGTCATCCTGCTCGTTATCTACGTGTCATGGAAGCGGTACCCGGCTAGCATGAAGCAGCTGCAGCAGCGCTCCCTCATGCGAAGGCACAGGAAAAAGAAAAGACAGTCCCTAAAGCAAATGACTCCCAGCACCCAGGAATTTTATGTAGATTATAAACCCACCAACACGGAGACCAGCGAGATGCTGCTGAATGGGACGGGACCCTGCACCTATAACAAATCAGGCTCCAGGGAGTGTGAGGTATGAACCATTGTGATAAAAGCGCTCTTAAAAGCTGGGAAATAAGTGGTGCTTTATTGAACTCTGGTGACTATAAACGGAACGTGGTGCCCCCTCCCATTCCCTCTCCCTCTCCTGGCAAGGTCCTTCCCTGTCCGTTTTAGCACATTCATAATACTGGTCATTTTCCTCTCATACATAATCAGCCCATTGAAATTTAAATACCACAATCAATGCAAAGCTCAAACTCTGGTTTAATATAATGCCTACTGTATAAGACTCTTTATCGATTGCATTAATATCTCATTTGTTTTAAGATAAAACTTCTTCCGTAAGTAATCCCCCACAGGGGCTGTTATTTCTCTTCTGGTAGGACCACATCTATAGTTCTAGAAGGTTTGCTGTTCACTGGCAAATCAAGGAAAAAGGGAATGATCCCAGGTACTGGGAGCTCGAACTGATTCTAGGCGAATGCTTGATTACAGAAACATTTAGAGACAGCCTTAAAACATGGCCTGGCTTAAAAAGAAAATTGCAGGAAACTGTCAAAAGATGGTGCTGGGTTAAAGAATCGCCACGGGCAATTTTCCAGAGGTGTTTGAATTACAAGAAAGCGAGCCCAGGGAAAAGTGTTGAAGAGTTAAAATGCTGCAAATAGACAACCGAAAAACGTGAGATGGTAAAAACACAAAGTTTTAGACTTGAATGCCTTGTCTCTGAAATCCATCCCTGGAAAATCAAACTAGAGGTTTCACACTATCAATTTCTCCTAGCCTTTATTTAGCCCAAATTAATTAATTAATAAAATAACCAAGAAGCAAATTTGAGGAGGGAGATTTCTCCACTGTTCCTCACCTTAGGGAGTTTTCAGAGATGAGGCTTGCAAATGGGAAGGCAGCTTGCTATTTGCATGTGGTTGGGAGCTTACCAGAATTTCTTTCCAGCACTTTCAAGGACCCTAATGTAGTGAGTGGAATCTCTAGCTCTGTCTGTTCTTCTGTCTGGGATTTGTCCGGCTGTCCTGTTGTGTTCCATTATGTGCCCTGCACGTACTAGCCCCCTGATGACTGACACTTCATTCAGAGGTATAAAGAGAACACATTCCAAGACATGCTTTCCACCAAAAGCTTCATTGAAAAGAATGATTTTGATAACACCTTAATAAATGTATAAAATAAATCTTAAAGGAAAAAAGACCAAGCCTATGGCAGTTGTCTTTTGCTTTTCTACTGCTGAAGTTATAGTACCCTTATGTTCATCTGTACTGTGAACTCATCCATCTGTATGATTCTGTACAGACCCTGTTGGCAATCTGCAAGCTGCATGCATGTTTTTCTGTTGTAGGTGAAAGTTTATTGACTGCAGCACAAATATCAGACCTTCTGTATTTAAGTGACTTTGACCACACTTCATTAAGATTTTAGAAAAATGTCTATGGTCTGTATTGTATCCTCTCATCCTCCAAAATGAACAATCCTGTTGCAGGAGCAAAAATCAGGAATTGAAACATTGAGTCTGTTTCATTTATTTGGCTTGCCAAGCCCCACATCTTTAACCACATCCCTGTTCTTTCAAAACAAAAATCACTGCAGCAAAAAAGAAAAAGTGAATGGCTATTTTTTTAACCAGCATTTTTATATAGTTTGAAGGCTTTTCATATGCTGACAGGAAAAATCTAGGCAAGTCATCATGAAATATAATTGCAAGGAAGCCAGATTATAAAAAATCATACTTTTATAAGCAATAAAGGAAAGGGGACATTTAGAATGGATTTCTCAAGGTACTTTGATTTTGATTAAATCTTAAAAGAGATGCCAGTTCAGAAAAGCATCATAGCTGTGATATATTTACCCATGAATAATTGTTGAATGTATATTTATTAATGGTAAATAGTCACAGATTCCCAGTTGATTAATAATGCAGATACTTCCTTACAGTACTATGAACTGGATGACTGAGCCTACTGTGATGTTTTTCACTGAAGTTGTAATTTTTCATTTTTCATAAAATGTCAGTAAATATATCTTCCATCTCAAAAAGAAAATTTCTTTGATCAGCCTCACTTTTATCTGTACTGAAGATGATTGTATTAATTAAATGCAGTGTTAAAGTGAAAAAGCCAATTTCTATTCTTTGACTTGACCTTCTGCCTCATTTGTCATGGATACCGAATAAACTTAGGCAGGGCATATCTATACTTATATTTTTGAATTCTTACAATTCTCATTGTTGTGACCCTACTGGCATATATAAAATACGTTTGTTGTATTGAAAGTGTTTCTAAAATTCAAAGCCACTTCATGTATAAGATTAAGTGAATGACCAACATTTTGCAGGCTGGTCATTTTTTAGTGCCTAACTTAATTTATAAATTTAATAATAGAACCAAAATAAAATTCCTTAGATTATAAAAGTTATTTTGATTCAGGACATGAATTCTTTCTAAAAAAAGACCCCCCCCCAACTTTGGGAATGAAGCTTCTCTATTGCTCAGGATCTTCTGATCACAAATATAGAATTCTTGTAGTTAGACAATAACTAGTTCGCCATCATAAATTTGACAAAGCCAACTGGTCAGTGCTCTTCTGTTCAAAAGTTGTTGTCTTCATCCCCACCCCATAGCACCTTCTGGACTACACACTGTAAGTCTATTTTCATTAAGTATTTCTACCTCATGGCATAGTAGAGAAATATCATTGGTATTCCATTTTCTTTCCAAATTTACATGAAGTACCTGACTTCCCTCAAAGGTGACAACGGTTAAATAAACAGCCTGACCTATTGAACTACACAACACAGATGCATCGATGCAGAATGGATTCAGTCAATACTTTGAATGCTTTACCAGAGAGAAAAGAAACGCAATTTAGTCACTGAACTACATGGGGTTTTTTTCACCCATTTTTATGAGCCCCAGTACACATAGGGCTACTGCAGTTCGGCTTTAATAGTCCCAGTGCTACAGTCTTCTAAGCAATACTTACGCAAGATATATTCCTTTTAAATGAGTTTATATTTTCCAAGAATGTTGACATTACATTTTTTTCAAAGAATTTAAACCATTTTTTACTTGATTTGGTGAGTCAACTAAGTAGACAGGCAATAAACTGTATTTCTGTGGAGCAGCAGTGACCTCCAGTGGCTGGTTAGACTAACCACAGCTATTCATACGCCTCTTTGGTTTTTCTAATCCTGAATCCTTATGTAAACATGATTAACAACATATATTTTTCCATCTGTGAGTCAGACTTGGATTGTATTTAATTCATCTCCCTGGGAAATATATAGTGCGGTTTTTTAATGTTATATTTTGCATATGGACCTATTTAGTAATTAGTCCAGACAGAGGCCATGGAAAAGACACTGGGAGTTAGAAGTAAGTGTCCATAGATGAAGAACAAGTAATAATGTAGTAAGAATAGATAAGAAATAGTTTAAAGTATTTATACTCATCAATGTTGGCCAGATATTCTGAAATTTTCATTAAAGGGGTTAGTATTTTCCATAGGTAGGATTCCAAAATATAATGTAATTTCAATTGGGGAAGACAAATTTCAATATTAATATTGAAGAATCAGCATCAGTGATTTACCAGTCAGTAGGAATGTCTGAGCTATCAGGTAAGGGAGGCCTCCCTCTCCGCTCTAGAACCCTCCAGTTTCTTGATCATGCCAGTGACCTGTGCTTTGCCCCAGTGCTCTCCCCAACCCTCCCCATTCTCAGCCAGCTGAACGCTGGTTCTATTAGGCTCTCTGACAATGATGTTATAGTCTAAGAGGTGATGATTCATAGATAATGAAATTATGCTCTCCTTCTGGGGAAGGATAATGCAGAGTCAGATTCATAGATTTGGCAAGGGATTTTAGGATGTTGTAGGTACATGAAATATCCTCTCTTCCCTTGACATTTACCAAGAAGAGAACTTAAATAGTTTTTTTAATGTGTGGATTAGACTAGCATCAGAAACAAGCATCCAGCCATGAAGCCTAAGACAAAATGAGCTCCAGATATGACAAATGAGAATTGAGCCATGAGAAATGAAAAACTCCGAAACTGTGTTCTTTCTTCTATTCCCTTTTCCCTGGATTCTCATTGGTATCTGGACCTGTAGCAAACCCATGGAGTTTTTCTGTACTTGCACTCTCTTACCTACCTACATTAAAAATCAGACACAGTTAGAAGAAACATGAACAATAATATCAGTAAATGTGAATTACAAATGTAAGAGAAACAGAACTGATGGAAGTTAAATAGCTTGTATTAAATGACTCTTGAAAACTAATAAAAAAATAATACAGAGGTGAAAGTGAGTTCACCTAATCTAATTATAACAGCTTACAGAACTGGACCCAAATTTTGCTTAGTCTCCAAAATCATTGGTGAGTTTTACATAGTTGTGTAGAATAAAACAGAAATACTACAGAGAAAATCTACATAAACATAGTTTGCAGTTCTTGTTTATTTGAGGAAAATATCACAGCCATGGATGGTAGAGTATGGGCCCTAGATTCAAGTTTCTTTGACATTTGCTAATCTAATGATTTCAGGCAAATTTCTTAGCTTTTCTGAACTTTAAGTTCCCCATCTGTAAAATGGGCATGTATTATTGACTTCATATGGTTACTGGGAGAACAAAATTTGAGAAGTGCTTTGTTAACTCTCAAATGGCAAAAACCTATTCTTTTCAAAGGGCACCTAGTGAGATATTCAGCTGCTGGTGTTCTGTGTCTGGCCTGGTCAAAAGACATCACTAACCTCTATGTTACAGAAGACCAAATCCATTTTACATTAATACGAATTCTGAGACTTGGCAGCCAGTCTAGAATTTAATTTGTTTTTGACCTTTAGTTTCCATAAAAACACAGTTTTTTCTGCCCCATGTTATCAGAGTCTAGGAGTTTATCAGTAATGATCACAATGTACAATAGACATAAAATAAAGATACCAACCAGAGAATACTAAAGCAAAAGTTTGTCAAAGTAAATAAAAATCTTAATTGTGTCCCAAATCAAGTCATTATA